TATGAAACTCCCCCCAGAAAACTGAAAAGTGGTCAGGAAAGAGGGAGTTGCAGGAGGTGACTTTTTATCTACAAAAATTCTCTAATGTTAGGCAGGAAGTCAAATAATATTGCCATTATGGGCTCTTTTGCCCTCTGAAAGTCTATCAGAATGTTATTATTGCCATTCTTTTCACGCTCATTATTTGGAAGGTTAAAAAAAAAAAAAAAGTAAAAAAGTTAAAAGGATCCCCAGAGTGGTTTCTCAGTGTGTTCTTGACTAACCTTTGTTTGCTTGCTTAACACATCGCTATCTTAAAGAGAAGCTGGAAATGTAATGAATGATATCTACAACATAATAAAAATTCCCAGGCTGGTTTGAAGAAGCAGATGCTCAAAAGACCTATTACTTTTTCATATAATACTTTGCATATTCACTAGGGCCTTGGCTTTAGCTAGCACAAATTGTTTTAGCTCCAAAATCAATAAGCTCTGAAATATGCATTGGCTGAAAATCTGCTGCCTGTTCCTTTCAGTTACATTTAGACATTTGTGTCAGAAAGTATGAGACTTACGAAAAGCTTATTGCACAAAGAAGGGGAAACTATAAGGAGATGCTGTGAGATCATCTCAACTTTGGTGCTCGAGCTACACACGTGATGCCTTACTGTATAGAATTGTAAAATCATGGCATGGCTTGAGTTGGAAGGGACCTCAAAGATCATCCAGTTCCACCCCCCGTGCTGTGGGCAGGGTTGCAGTAGATCAGGCTGCTCACAGCCCCATCCGACCTGGCCCTGAGCACCTCCAGCAGAGGGGCATAATGGATGTAGGAGATGGAGAGGCTGGACTGGCCGCAGTGGCACATGCCTTTGTTTCAGCAGGCAAAGAGAAGTAAGTCAGAAATGGGGCAGGAGGGAATAGCTTTGGCATTGCGTGGATTTCATAACCCAGTTCACCAAGGGCTGAAGTATCAGGAGAAGAAGCCCACGTGCCATGTGGGTGCTGGCAGGTGAGGAGCCCTTTGAAGTTGTTCCACTTTGCAGGAAATAATGAACTGCTTACAGCATGCAGCAAGTTAAAAAGAATGAGCTCAGCTCTCTAATCCGTTGGCTTGGGCACTCACCTGGGAGATGATTAAGAAGGTGAAAATCTAAACACTATTAGGGAGAAAAAAAATTGAAAAGAAGCACTGATGTGTCACTCAGATGTCTTTTTTTTATGTATTTTTTTTTATTTTCATTGCTCTTTACAGGGAGGTTTTTGCCAGAGCTTGAATCCCCACTGAAAGAGCTCACTGTAGCTAATCCTCTGAGAGCGGCTATGTTTTCTAAGTGGGAAATAGATACAGGATAAACAGTCTGCTGTTGGCACACAGCCCTACCTGCCACGGTGTAATAAAGTCTTATCGGCTGCAGCGAGGTTCTTCTATGGCTAAGCTCCTTGCAGAGCTGAAGGAGAACTGAGCACCATGGCTAGAAATCCAATACTGGCACCTACAAATAAAGGATTTCCATTTGCACATTGAACAGTAAATTGAATTATACTTAGTGATTCAATAAATCATGTGCTTCAAAGTTGTGGCTCTCTTGGGAGGAGGCTCCTGGAACTTTTGGAACTTGAAGTGAAGCGCACTTTCGCTGTGGAATATTAAAAACCAGATAATTAAAACCAATAGGTGATCTGAGGACACTGTGACTCTCTGACTTAATATAAATGGACGTTTTGTGATAGATTCTGAAAGAGGTACGAAGTTGAAGAGCTGAATATCACTGAAAGAACACCATCCATCACTGAGCAGATTAAATAGTTTCAGTTGTTCTATGTTAGCTGGTTTAAACCTCTCCTTAGGGGATGTGCAGCTTTTTTCTTTGATTACTGCCTCTCCATTTTAAGAAATCTTACCAAATAAAGATTTGGTTAGAAATGTTTCGATATGGGTGGGTTTTCTTACAGTGCAAAGGAATGGTTGGCTGTTGTGATGCCTGCTCTGTTCTTTTCCCTGTTGTGTACTTAGCATATAAATCCAAGATAAATGCAATTATTCTGTTTTTGCAGTCAAAATTCACAGAATGATAGAATTGCTGACCTTACAGGTCATCTAATCAAACTCCCCTGCAAGGAACAAGGGAATTTAAGCTTAATGCCAAAAACTAAGAAGGCAAACAGAGTTTTGGTTTCCTTTTGTCACTTTGGCTTTAGCTGAGTCACATCCAGCACGATGAGCTGAGCTTCAGCGTGCTGCTCAGGTTAACCTTGAGCCTCTGTTGAAGCCTTATGAAGCACACAGTACCTGCAGAGTGATTGCACCTTCTTTCTGCCCAGTGCTGTTTTCTCTTTGTGCTTCTCCTAGGGAAGCTTGTGCTCAATCAGTGCCACACGAAGCCTTTTACCTCTGTTTGCTCTTGCGCACCCAGTTGATCGGAAGAGTTTCCGTGGAAATTGGTGGGAGCTGGGGGTGCTCACCACAAATGGCTGAGATTGTTCATAGCAGAAATAGCCACGCCATATTCGGAGGGAAAACCCAATAGGTTGTGGAGAGGCTTTGAGGATTATTAAAGGTGAATCTGATAAGACTGGCCATCATTATCTCCTGGCTTTCTCTGTGAGGATGAATATTGATTTTAAATATGTTCTGCATTCTACCAGTCTGTTAGCCACACATCTAAGGGATTTTTTTCCATGAGGTCAGGCTATAGCATTCTTAGGGTAATGCTGTTATTTGCCTATTCAGAGGAAAAGAAGCAAACTGATTCTTTGAACTTCTGGATTAGTCAGAGCAGACAGTGTTGACAAGATGTAATTGCTGCTTCAATTGAGAGGAAAGGTAATGCCTCTGTTGTTTTGAAGTTCTTGAGGAAACACTCATGTGGTCTGAAGCTGCTTGTCTCAGACAAGCAATTTGCTCCTGAGTGACAAGAACTTTCTCATGGTTCACATTGGCTTAAAAAAATAATGAAGTCGGAAGCCGCTCCTGAATCTTTTTAGTTACATGAGGTGGGCTTGCAAAATCTGGATGCATTGTTGTCCATTTGCTCTCCTTTATCTCAAGCAACAATAAAAAGCCCAAGCTGGTCTTCAGCTAAGGGAAAAAAAAGAAACACTATTATTTTCCCTGATAATCCATGTTAAAACATGGAATTTAGAATAAATTCCTTCCCTGACCTAAGCTGGCTGTCAGTTTGCACCATTCTACAAGAAGACCATTTCACTTCACTATCAAGCCAACTACCTGTGACTTTCATTTTTATCCTACTAAATGTAGGATCCTTTTCAGTTACCTGCCCTCAAAATTTGCCTTCAGATATTGGATTGCTTCGATTGTTGACTTCAATAGGCATAGAGCATGTGGAAGAGGAATGGAGCCATCGTTTGCCTGGATAGTATCCTGGTGGTCAGGATGCCATGGTTTTAGCTACAGGTTACATATAACTTGTACTTTTTTGCCTTTTAATTGCAGGAAGCTTATCTTTGCTGTATTGTCAAGCACACTGGACAGGAACCAAATTGATTTTATCAAAATTTTCATTACAGGTATCCCAGATATGTCCCCTTTTAGTTCTCTGTGTTCTAGACTAAATTTAATCCTACTCGTTTAAATCCCCTTTGATAGCTAGCCCACCTGCCTGTGTGCCTCATTTAAGTTTATTTCTTTTCATGTGCCCCAATTAACTGATATAATGCTGTCTTACCTTTCCTTCTTACACCTCTTTTGTATGTCCTACATCCTTTGCATTTCCTTCCACTACTGTTTTTTGTTTTTTTTTTCCTTCAAATTTCCCTTAGTACCAGATTGGTATTTTCACTGAACATTCCCCAGTAACTTATAGACTGATTTTTCTTGTTTGGTGGCAGCTAATTCAGAACCCGCCTATGGGCCAGACTCACCTGGTTGTTGCACTGCATGAAATTCCAGATGATTCTGTTGAAGTCAGCTGAGTAAAGCTGAAATTTATACTGGTGAAAATGACAGGAAAACCTGGCGTAGTTTGAACAAGTAGCCTATTTTATGCCCACCTAAAAGTCATTCTGACCATCCAGCTTACTTTGGTTGATTAGTTCCTTGTTATGCTTTAACTGGAGAATGGGGTTGATTTTTTTTTCTTTCAAATGGAGATATTATGGCAACAAAAATGCCTACATTTATAAATTTTTGGCATGTGCAGCACTCAGTACCATGGACTCTCACCTTGCAATGCCTGGGTGTTCAGCAATTTGTTAGTTTTTGCTGAGGAAAGTCATGTGGCCAGATACTTCTCCTTTTATGAACTTAATATTTCAATAATATAATAAAAATGAAAGAATTTGGGCCATAGAATAACTGAAAAACAGGAATAATGTCTTTTAATGTGAAATAATCCCTGATTGCCTTCCTTGAACTTTATCTACTGCCACGAAGTTCAATTAGGATCTCATTGACTCTTTCTGAGGCCCATTGGGAGCAGTGTGTTGGCGGATATAGAGTTTGGAATTTGTTGTAATCTGTAAACACGCCTTTGAACTTAGTCTTCATTATCAATTATTTCATCTGTATCTTACCTCATTGCTGGTGAAGCCCAGCTTCCTACTGCCAGGACAGTGTAGGTGTTGTAGTTTTCATGTTTTCTTCATATGCTTTCATATTTTAATATTCTGGTTAGAATACTTGATAATATTTTACTAATTGTCAGGCACAAATATTTAAGAGATTTATTTTATTTTATTTTATTTTATTTTATTTTATTTTATTTTATTTTATTTTATTTTTTTGCTGAAACTTGATAACATCTGCAAAAATATCACTGGCTTACCTTATTTACACTCTGGCTGGTTTATTTCATGATGGCCTTGTCCAAACTTGTAGATATCATAGAGCTAGTATGTACATTAAACATTATGTATAAGAAGCTCGTGCCTTTAAAAATACATTAAAAAAAATAAAAAGGGAAATAAGGATTGTGCTTTTGATCTCAATATTAAAAAAAAAAAATGGGTATGCAGCAGCTAATTCTCATTAACAGGATCTGATTTTTGTCTTTTAAGGTAGGACTGGCCACACGGAAGCTGTACGAGTGGTATATCAGCCAGAAAACATCAGCTTTGAGAAACTGCTCAAGGTCTTCTGGGAGAATCATGACCCGACACAAGGTAGAGTGATGAGTGAGCCAGTATTTAATTATCTTACTAATTACAGCTGGGATAATTAGTGTTTGAGCTGCATGGAAGAGATGAACCTTGAAATCACACTGGAGCTTGAGAATATGATTGCAGACATTTATTGACAGAGAAAGAGAGGAAGAGAGAGAATGAGAGTACAGAAACTCACAATACCCCTCCTCCTTTACAGCTGTCTGTGCTGGGAAAATTCCCACAGAGAGACACAGCAGACAATAGAATTTTTTTTTCTCAGCTTTGATTATGACAATTTCTTCTGTAATGCAATCTTTTGTCCCTTAATTTGAAGCACAGTTCTTTGCAGCTTCAAATGTGGACGTTCTATTTTTTGCTGAGAAAATTTATACTTTGTAAAATAGATATTTTTTTGCTGTATTTTCCAATGGCAGCGAATATACTTTTTTTTTTTATGATTAGCAAAAAAATGAACAAAAGATGTCAGAATTGATATGCTGAGTGGAGCATTCTGGCTATTTGCTTTCTTCGAACCTTTCGATTTATCTCTCTTGGAAGAGATTTCGTGGTGACTTTATACACATCTGTGCAAACATAAATGGGAAACTGTGCTGGGAACACATTGTACATGTTTATATAGTCTCAATAAGCATCATGCATTCTACCATTTTCCAGAAATATTACGCTCAGTAACTCATTTCAATATTTTAACAGCTATCATAATTATGCCACTTGTTACCACATCTGGTAACAAAAAGCGCAGATGATACCTACAGAATGGGGCACCACCCTGAGAGTCAGTAATGCTGAAAGGGATCGAGGGGCTTTTGTGGATTAAGTGTCTTCCACTGAGCCCAGAGTGCAGCAGAAAGACAAAAAATTGCTATTGCAGCTCCTGCCTGTGTGAAAAGGGAAGCCCCAGTCAGGGCGACGACGCTTTCTGGAGGCAGCCAGTAAAATCTCATGGATTTGTAAACAAGGCTGGAAAAGACCACTAAGATCATCAAGTCCAAGTGTCAGCCCAGGATCACCATGCCCTCTAAACCAGTGTTCCTAAGTGCTCTATCTACCCTTTTCTTGAGCACCTTAAGGGATGGTGACCCCCACCACCTCCCTGGGCAGCCTGTTCCAATGTGTTGGAACCACTCTCTAAGAAGAAATGTTTCCTAATATCCAACCTGAACCTCTTCTCATTCAGCTTGAGGCCATCACCTCTTGTCCCAGTGCTGGTACCTGGGAGCAGAGGCTGTCTCCCACCTCACCACAACCTCCTTTCAGGAGTTGGAAAAACCAATGAGGTCTCCCCTGAGCTCCTCTGCTCCAGACTGACCCATCCCAGTGCACTCATCCACTCCTCCTAACACTTAGGATCTATGTTCCAGTCTCTTCAAATGTCAGTTCAAATGTCAAACATCATTGTGAGATTGACAATCCAACCACTGATGGACCATGACAAAATCCAATAGCTGGACATTCAAGTTTGAGAAGTTTCACCTCGGAATGAAATAATTTTGCAGCTTGCAGTGTAATTAAGCATTGGTTTCTTTTTCCATCACTGTCATTTCAAGACTTTAAAATGAGATCATTTATCGTTTGAAAGAGGAGCTCGATTCAATTCCTGAGAAGCTCTGCCTATGTGTGGTGACAATGGCATGTACTGGGATGTGCTGATTTATGTGCCTCCTTGATCAACCCCTTCCTTTCTGTTTGTGATCAGAATGATGTGCTTGCACCATCCTTGAAACACTAGCTCTGAGGCTATACCTGTCTTCACATCATTCTTCAGGGCCTTTGTGGTTTGCTTGTAGGTTTCAGTAAGGAATTTTATCCCATCCTACCACTGGTTAGTTCTAGTTTTGTTCTTTTTAATTTGGATTGTCTGCGATTGGCCATAACCTGGCCTCTTTGTGTTTTACTCATCCATTGGATTCATCCCAGTTGCCAGAGCTAGGAACCTAGCCTTCTAGAGCAGCGTGAGGAATGGATCTCTGTTGATAGACTCAGGGAAATTACCACCTAACCAATTCTCTGCCACTGCTGTAGTCTTGCCTTGGACTGTGTTTGGTTGGTCACTGCATGTGGCACAGATGCAATAGCTTGGTCTCTAAAAAGCTTCAGTGCATTAGGTTGGCTGAAGTACGAGTACTGGGCATAATGTAGTAGTTGTGGTAAATGAACTTAAGATTCCTTCTGACTTTAAAACAAAATAATAATAATAATATCTTTGTATTCACTTTACATCCTCACATAACTGAGGTTCAGAATAGTTCCAGTCAGTGCTTTCAGAAGAAGGTTGGATGCTGGCAGATGTATGATTCACTTCTTGATTTCTGGCAACTGAGGAAACATCACCTAATTAGCCCGGGCACAGAGCCACACTAATGTGACCGTATTCCTTCTGGGATGTAAGCTAATATCTCTGCATGATGCTGCAGTGTGCATACCCAAGTCATTCACAGCTACCTCAGGAATCTGTGTGGCTCTGTGGTGCCTGGTATAAACAGAGCTAAGCCTTCATTAGGAGGAAGTGTTTCACCCAGAGGGTGGTGAGGCACTGGAACAGGTTGCCCAAGGAGGCTGTGGATGCCCCATCCCTGCAGGCATTCAAGGCCAGGCTGGATGTGGCTCTGGGCAGCCTGGTTTGCTGGTTGGTGACCCTGCACACAACAAGGGGTTGGAACTGGATGAGCATTGTGGGCCTTTGCAACCCAGGCCATGCTATGATTCTATGATTCTATGATTCATCCTAGCTTGACTCAGTAGAAGTTCCAAGTGGTTCTTTTGTAATAATTTGCAAAAAGCAAGAGCATCACTTTACCTGCAGAGATGATGGCAGTCACTGAAGCCTTCTTGTGTTCCAGACATGGCTGATGTGGGCAGATTGCTTTACCTGTGTATTTTTATGATTGCTTAATGCTAAACTCTGTTCAGTGGCTCTGCAAAGCTCACTACATGTCTATAGCCTTTCTTGATTTGAGAAAAACTAAACCAATAGTGCCCAATTTCAAGTTTCTTTGTCCTGTGGGATAGGGATGGTATGCTGTGTATCTTTTTCAAGTTGTGGCAGTTAGCACTAGAAGCTTGGTAAGGTGGAATTATTTCTTCATCTTTTTTACACCCACTCCCTGCTTTTATCTTGCTATGAGAAATGTGGTTTTCTGTAACGATACAAAGTGAGAATTATCTCCCTGATACCTGTGATATTTTTCTTCTTTCCTGAAATTCAGCTATGTGCAAAGTCTTATTTAGCCAGCCTTGCGGGAATGCAGCTCAGTCTGTCAAAGGGAAGGCTTTTGCTAAGCAGTTAAATTAGAAAGATTTCTTATTCATGAAATTCAGCACACTCCTTGGATGAAGCCAGTGTCTCATACAGCCAGCAAGCGCTGGACTTTCTGAGTATAGTGCTCACTCAGAAATACAAAAGCTTTGTCTGTGGCACTGCCTTATCTTTCCCCCAGAAGTCAGGTTAATTCCATTTAAGCCCTCGTATCCCCCACCGAAACAATGGACTGGTCTAGTTGTCCCAGCGTCATTGAACATCAAATATGGAAATATTCACTTGTATTGTTTCAGATTCACTTGCAATTAAGGATCTTTCAAGTATCGATCTGGTTGGCACCAACTTGCTAAAGGATACAGACAGGCAGTCCTATCATTCGTTGTTGAAAAAGCATATTAATATTCAGAAGTTCTTGCTTTCCAAGCAGTTGGACATCCTGCCTTCAAGATGAGGCAGACATCTCACTGGGATTCAAGGTTTCTCTGGGAGGCAGCCTGGCTCTTGTTTCATGGAGCTCTTGAGTCTGAGTATTATACAGAAGACTACTGAAAAGCAAGAACCTTTGATCAGTCAAACAGCCTGTGAGTTGAAAGAGATTCTCCCAAATGAGCATCTCCTAAGTGTGGGGCCCTGATAAAGTCCTCCTTGACTATTAATTTAGGCTGTATTTTATAATTCATTACATTCGGGATACTGAAAAAGCAACAAACCCTCGAATTCTGCCAAGTGACATATGGTTGTCATCTCTGTTCAGCCTCTACTGCACAGATCAGCATTCCTTCTCTCCTAGGAATAATCTTATCCATAACGGGAATGCTCTACACAACTCTAGAAGTGCTTGAGGTGGTTGCTTCTTTCTGGCTGGTACAGCAAAAGAGGGTGAATGTCCTATGCTAAGAATACTGCTGGAGAGTCTTACAGCTGTCTGCTTTGTGCATCGCTTTGTAGACTTACAGAGGCACAGAGCAGATTCCGTACTGCCCTGTTTTTGCACCAAAGGTGCCTTTCTTAGAGCCATCTCCTCCAAATTGCATCCTTACAATGGATTTGCTGGCACCTCCATGCTGTGTGTCCACTTTCAGCCCATCAGTTTGTGTTGTGCCTCAGCCTGTTTTCACGTTTTCTGGAAGCTAGTTTTTGACCTATCTGGAGGATGCCACGTCTTTCTTCGTGCTGACTCTGAAAGCTACAAAAAAATTCTCTGATCAAGCTGAAAAGTAACCCTGCATGAACTAAAATATAGCTTTGAGCCTGGACTTTCATTGCCAGAAGCACAACTGCCAGTGAGACTGCCCTTATGGCACCAGCAGTGCCTGCCAATGTGTGAGCCAGTTGGGAAACCCAACTTTACTTATGTTCAGGGAAGAAAATGTCATATTTTATCTAATCAGAGAGTTTGACTACTCTGAGGGGAGTCAGAAACAATTTCTCCAAGTCTCTGGAAACATCTTTATGATATTGGAGGAATCAGTTTGTCATGGTGCAAGCAGGATGGCTGTTAAGCATGGTGCTATTCGTAATTATGTTGATCTTTTGGAAGATTGAAGTCTTACATCTGTTAAAGATTTCAGCTCAATCTGAGGCAGCTTTAAAGGATGATTCTTTGTTGCTTTCATAAAATCGTGGAATCACAGAATCATTCAGGTTGGAGAAGACCACTAGGGTCATCAAGTCCAACCAATCACCCAGTCGCCCTTATGCCTGCTACCCCATGTCCCTCAGAGCCACATCTCTACAT